CTCATCTAAATCTACCTTCTTCCAGTTTGAAGCCATTCCCCCTCATCCTATCAAAGGATGAGGCAAACAAAAAGACATGTAGTCAGGAGCCAGCACCTTCCCATGAGGAAAATCAGAGCAAAGAGAAGGATAAGCAATGCACATTTAATAGGAAATGCTCCAAGAATCTCTATACAAATATCAAAATATAGGAATATCTAAAATACTAACGTAAAATATCAGTATATAAAATATACAAATAATAAAAAAATAAAATATTAAAATGCTGCATATTATAGTAATGATGTTATATGCCAGCATATAATCAAAGGCCAAAATTGCCATCTCCCAGCCAAGGCTCGGTGTGGGAAGGGGACGTCCCCAGCCCTGCTGTAGCCCTGAGCCAGGAGCCACGTGTTGCACAAGCCTGGGCTCTTCCTGGCAGCCTTTACTTCCTCCAAGGGCCTGGGTTCGCAGGGCGTTGCCGCCGGAGATGAGGAAGGAGATAGGAGAGGGAAGTGCTGATGAGGAGCCCTCACAGGTCTCCTAGCTTTGAGCAATACCGAGACCCAGGGCAGGATCCTGGATCCTGTCCCACCTTGGGACTGGTACATCTCTCTCAGGGCTCCTCTGAGCTGTGGCACTCCTCCATTTCTGCTCGTACAAATGAATATCATAGAATCATAGAATGATTTTGGTTGGAAGGGACATTAAAGACCATCTAGTCCATCCCCCTGCCATGGGCAGGGACACCTCCCACCAGCCCAGGTTGCTCCAAGCCCTGTCCAACCCGGCCTTGAACACCTCCAGGGATGGGGCAGCCACAGCTTCTCTGGGCAACCTGTGCCAGGGGCTCACTGCCCTCACAGACAACCATTTCTTCCTCATATCTCATCAAAATCTCCCCTCTTCCAGTTTAAAACCATTCCCCCTCATCCTATGGCTCCCCTCCCTGATGCAGAGTCCCTCCCCAGCTCTCCTGGAGCCCCTTTAGGGACTGGAAGCGGCTCTAAGGTCTCCCCAGAGCCTTCTCTTCTCCAGGCTGAACACCCCCAACTCTTTCAGCCTGAGAGAGTAAACTAAGATAGGCAATACTAGTTTACTTTATTCATTTTCTATACATTTATCTCTATAATCTATTGAGTATACCTCTATTTTTTACTTCCTGCAATGCTAAAGGAGCATTTCGCCTCTCTCTCTCTGGTATTTCAGCTTTATATTATTGGTTTTCAGAGGCCGTATTATACTGAAGGAGGCTCGAAGTTGAAAGCGGATGTGGGAATAAAGCAACCGAAAAATAAAAATCAAAAATAGAAAGGGCTTTTGAGCAGCGGAGTGCCCTGGATGAGCTTTGGGTCTCTCAGGGAGCGCATGTTGCGGACAGATTGTGATATCGCTGCGGTCCCGGGGTTGTATCTCGGTTGTGTCACCCACGTTCAGGCAGGCGGTGAGGTTGGACCGCGGCATCGCAGCCGAGACTCCTGCCTGCGTCTGCCCACATCTGCCTATACATCTCCATCGCGCTGGTAGGCTTTTGATAGGAACCGAGCACCCTCTTCTTTATCCACAGAAAACAGCGACGCTTCCCACCTGGGTTTGAAATGGAAAAGGGAAACAAGATTTGAAAAATGAGGAAAAAGTATTCTTTTCGCATTTTCTTCCCCTTCCCTTGGTTTCAGAGGGCGGATGGGTTTTAAGCATGCCCCACAAATCCCCCCACTGCCCCGGTTTATTTTAAAAAATCTGTAATTTTCTATTATAAAATGGGATTTTTCTGTTTAACTCCGTGTCCTCCATTCAGCGTTTGTACGTGTGTGTGTGTGTGCGCACTGGTGACATTTGTCACCATCAGGTGCTATTTTTAAGATGCTGGAGGACCCCACCCTGGGCTTGGGGAGTGGGACGGGGGGGAGAGCGGGAGGAGGCAGAGGAGGGGAGGGGGAGGAAGGAAAACGTCAGCCTCAGCACACTTCCAGCCTCTGGCCATCAACCTCCCTGGGGGCATGGGAACCATAAGGTCATTTCTCAGGCTGGCTGAGCTCCGGAGCTGTCAAACCACTCTAGGAGTTTTAAAAAATGCAAATGTATGCAAATGAATCGCCTGGGCTATTTCTCTTCTTCTCCACCCCCCCGACATTTAAATGACATGAATCACCTTCAATTTTGCTAGCATCCTGTAAAGTTACCGGCTTGCCTAAGTGCTTCGCTTAACAGAACCGCATCTCGAAAGGACCAGGAGGGGTAAAGAAAGGAAAAGAAGCCCTTTCCCATTTTAGTTTATAATCACATACCCCCTGATCTCCTAATGCCATTTTTTCTTGCTGCCGAGTGAATAATCCACGAATTAGGGAGGATGGGAAAAACGTCTATATAAACAATTTTCAGGGTTGCCTAATATGCCGCTTTTCTCATCTTAGGGTGATCTGGCAATAAAAGATGAAAATCGATTTGTAGGAAGAAAAGTTCCTTCACGTAAGGAGCTCCTTTAACATTAACGCGCCTTGCAAACAAAAATAAATGAGTAGAAGATAAATACAGCAATAGAAATTTAATTGCTTATGCTTGTTATTAAGGATACAAAGCCTAAAAAGGAAGTTGGCTCTTCCTCCCCAGACCAGGGGTTATTTATTATCTTACACTCCACTTGAAGAACACATTGGATTTACTTTCATTTATCGGCGATTTTCAAGGGAGATTTGATACGGAGCTGGTCGGGCTGCTAGAAGAGCGTAGCTCGTTAACATGGTTAAGCACAGCACACTGTAATGAATCAATTTGTTTCAGACAACAGACATAATTAGCGTGGAGCTAATGGGCACACCGGGGAAGGCAGGGCCGGTGGCTGGAGCTGCGGGGGGGCTCCAAGGGGTGTAATTCCCGGTTCCTCTCCCCATCTCTGGGCATGGGGAGGTGGCTGGAGAGGGCTTCCCATGGTGGGGGCTGCCCTCCAGCACCCCATGAGGCTTCACTACCTCAGGGACAGCTTGTTCCCCATCTTAGTGTTGCTCCCACCAGGCTGGTGGTCCGTAACCCTTCCCCGGGGTGTGCTCCATCTAGGTTGCACCATCTTCCCAAGGCCTTTGCTCACCAGCTCCCACGGCGAGTGTTCAGCAACACTGATTAGGTGTGGGGGAGATACCTGCAAGGTCTCAGCTGGAGATTGACCCTGCGGAGGGAGGAGAAGGGAGATGGTGTTCCTCTTCCCACGGGAATGTTTGCTGCCGAGTCCCTTCTATGGCTTCCCAGCTCCCACGGCGAGTGTTCAGCAACGCTGATTAGGTGTGTGGGAGATACCTGCAAGGTCTCAGCTGGAGATTGACCCTGCGGAGGGAGGAGAAGGGAGATGGTGTTCCTCTTCCCACGGGAATGTTTGCTGCCGAGTCCCTTCTATGGCTTCCCAGCCTCCCCCAAGGGTCAATGGCTTGCTGGCCAAGGTGAAGCAAGGATTTCCCTGCACAACGTCTGTCACACCAGGTTCTTCTGTCCCCAAGGGCTGGAGGCAGGCGGTAGGGTGGGAGCCAGCCCCACAACATGAGGTAGACCAGTTCCCCACAGCTGGTGGGAAGGAGGTTTGGAGTCAGAGTGGCCAGAAACCAAGCAGGGAAGGACATCCAGGACATGGCGATGGATCCCAGGAGACATGCAGAGGTGGCACAGGGTGGGATTGGGAACCTGCCTGATGGTCTCAGCCTTGCGAAAGGGGACAGAGTGGGGCTGCCGTTTTACTTACATGTACCCTGGGCTGTCTTGGAGATCAACTGCCCGGCTGTGAAATGAGTGTCTACCTGCAGCGGGGCCACGAGCTGGGGCTCGTAGAGGTGACACTGCTCTGTGTCCTGGGGGTTCCCAAAGGGTTGGTGTATTCAGAGTTATTCTGGCTGTTTGATGTATTCTGTGTGTGATGGGATTAATGTATTCGTCACTTGCTGGAGGAAGTTGCTCTCCTTCCCTGTGATTCCTCATGTGGAAGGGCTGCTGGAGCCATGTGAGAGAGGAAACATCTTACAGATAAAAAAAAATGGCCCCAAAAAATCAGGTTTTCCTTTTGGGTGTGGGCTTTTTGCTTCCGAATTTCCCTTTGAAGGTGGAGCTGCTCTGGCAGGGGAAGGTGTCTGCCAGATGCACGGGGCATTTGATACCATGCTAGCAAGTCCAAACAGGATGGGGAATGGAGCAAGCTCAGCTCATGGGTGAAGATAGCAGGCAGCCATCTGCCTCTGGCCAAGCCCTTGCTCTCTGATTGGGATCCTGGTTGCCCTTCTCTGAGCGTTTAGGTACACCGTGACCTTGCTTGCTTGCCTCCCCCATTCTCAGATCCCTTGCGAAGACATCCCTGTGCAGGTCGTTCATGTGCTATGGGGACCTGGCATAGCTTCCAGGCATAAGGTAGCAGGGGAACACAGAGCTGGAGACCTCCTGGTCCATAAAGACTGTTCTCCTGCTGTAGCAAACAGCCATGACCAGCAGTCCATCCTATTTGGGACATCCAGTTGTACCAGTCCCAAAAACAATTGCGTAGGTGAGATGGGCACTCCCTGGTTCATCTTATTTAAGCTGAGGAGGTGCTGGCACTTGGCAGTGTGAAGAAATACAGCATCACCCTTTCCCCACGTAGCTCCTGGCAGGGCAAATCCAACATGTGCCTGGAAAGATGTTGGCTCTTGGAGGACATGGAAGAAATGCGGTGGGGAGGGAACTGTTGCACAAGGTTCCTGGGGGAGGGATGTGAAAGAGAAGAGGGAGGTTGTGGTGGTTATGAAAAGGTGAATAGGGTGGGAACCGAGGAGAGAAGTATGGAGAAAAAGAAGGAGAAAAAGGTCAAACCACAGAGGACCTGGAAGGAGTTGAAGGTGACATGGAGATGCACTGGGGCAGTGCAAGCAGGAGGTGATTACAGAGGTCCAAGTAGGGTAGGGGAGAGGAGGACGTAGAGAAGGCAAGGTTGTTTTGATGCCACTCATTGAGAACCCCCTGCTAATTCCCTACTGTCTGTGTTTTGTCCTAGGGCACTAAATGAGAATATGGCCAATGGCATTGAAGATCCTATCGGGATCCCATTCCCGAACCACAGCAGTGAAGTCTTATGTGGGTTAAATGAGCAGCGGCATGACGGTCTCCTCTGCGATGTCATCCTCATTGTCCAGGACCAGGAGTACCGGACCCATCGGTCTGTCCTTGCTGCCTGCAGCAAGTACTTCAAAAAACTCTTCACTACCGGCACTTTAACAGACCAGCCCTATGTTTACGAGATTGACTTTGTCAAGCCTGAAGCACTTTCTGCCATCCTCGAGTTTGCCTACACCTCAACCCTCACCATCACCACCTCAAATGTCAAGCACATCCTCAGCGCTGCCAAGATGCTGGAGATCCAGTGCATTATCAATGTATGCCTTGAAATCATGGAGCCCGGCAGAGAGGCGGAAGAGGAAGATGACAAAGAAGATGAAGATGATGATGAAGATGAAGATGAGGAGGAAGAGGAGGAGGAGGAGGAAGTGGAAGATTTTGTCAATCAGGAGAACCTAACCGATGTCCAAGAAGTAAGCTGTCACCAAAGCCCTTCTAAGTCTGATCTTACCGAAGAAGCATATACAGAAGCACCTAAAGACTTTCCAAATCACTACCCAGCCAATAACTCCTCTGGACACTTGGGCGTCATACGAGACTTCTCCATCGAGTCCTTGTTAAGGGAAAACTTGTACCCTAAGGCGAACATCCCAGAAAGGAGGCCAGCTCTCTCTCCTTTCACCCCTACCTTCTTCCCCCACCTGTGGAACGGCAATTTTAGCTCTTTCTCCCAGCTCGAGGAGCCACAAGTAGACAACGGCCCCTTGGATCTCGTCATCAAAAAAAGGAAGATCAAGGAAGAAGAGGAGAAGGAAGACCTGCCTCCGCCTCCTTTCCCTAATGACTTCTTCAAGGATATGTTTCCCAACACCCCAGCAGCTCCCTTAGGGCATATTAAGGCAGAGACTGACTATAGCGCTTATCTCAATTTCCTAAGTGCTACCCAATTTGGAGGAGTTTTTCCCCCGTGGCCCCTGGAGGAAGAGAGGAAGATAAAGCCCAAGGCATCCCAGCAATGCCCCATCTGTAACAAAGTCATCATGGGAGCCGGCAAGCTGCCCAGGCACATGAGGACCCACACGGGAGAGAAGCCGTATATGTGCAATATCTGTGAAGTCCGCTTTACCAGGTGTGCGTTGGTTCCCTCTGCCACCCATGGCCATGTGCGGGGGGGTGGTGGTGGTTGGAGGGACCACATCATGGCTGATTCCTAAGCTACACATCTCTTTTTCCCCCTCCAAAAAACGTAGCAAAGAAAGCAGGACATGATCTCTCTCCCTTTGGGGAGAAAAAGGGAGGAAGGGAGGGTGGAGGAAGAAAACAAACCTACTGATTTTGGTGGGTTGTGGATCGCATCCACAGCTCACTGGATCCGTCCACTCGCTGGACAAAAGCTTAAATAAGTAACAGGATGTTTTCAAACCCACCATAGTTCACCACAGCAGGACCAGAGGGAGCTGGAAAACAGATGGTCAACCAGCCGAGGAGGCTTCATTTCTAATGTGCTGGGAGATGCGTTGAGTTGGGAGGGCCGTTTAGCCGCGCAATGTAATTAGTTTGGGTTTGCACATTTTGGCATCCGTGTAGACCACAACCAAGTTGCATATGTTTAGACATGACAGTGTCTGGGCTTTCTGAGGCTGGAACGGTCCTAATTATTATATGTTAGTAGTGAGGTGGATGTAGGTCTCTTCTCCCAAGTAGGACTAGAGGAAACGGCCTCAAGTTGTGTCAGGGGAGGTTTAGGATGGATATTAGGAAAAATTTCTCAGTGAAGGGGTTATCAAACATTGGAACAGGCTGCCCGGGGAAGTGGCGGGCTCACCATCCCTGGATGTATTTAAAAGATGGGTAGATGTGGTGCTGAAGGACGTGGTTTACGGGTGGACTTGGCGGTGTTAGGTTAATGGTTGGGCTTGATGATCTCAAGGGTTTTTTCCAACCTAAATGATTCTATGATTCATCACCCTGAACACTGGCTGCCCAAGAGCCTGGCACCTTGACTCCCTCCATGGTCAGTGGAAAGAGATCAGCACCCTCAGAGAAGTAGAGGAGGAAAGGGGATGAGCAGGAGTCATCCCTGACCACAAAGACAACCTGCAGGACTTAGATTAGGGCACCTGATTTTTAGGTATCTCAAGTTAGGTGAGTCCAGCCCCGATACGGGCTGCTCCAAGGCAGGTATGACTGGCCAGATCCACCCCTGGTACCAGTTCCCAGCCTTGGGACCTCTCTTCGTCCCAATGGACCCCTCGACGGTAATAAATCAGAGCGGGCTGTGCAAATCTCATGCTGCAGCTTGCAACCCTCCTCTGAAAAGCCAGGCAAATTTAATCGGTGAGCGGAGACAAATAGATTCCTGGACCTGCTCTTGCTGGGTATAATTAATATCTAATGAGTACAATCTTTACCATAATAATAAAGCTTTCTGACAAGAGCATGGTATTTCAGCTCCTGGCTGTGTGTGTGAGAGAGAGAGAGCCCTATTAGGCTGGGGCGAGCAAACCAGAGGAAAATAACATGCACAGTAGGCAAAGGCGAGCTCCTGACAATGGCCGGACACCTGGGGTGCTCCCGCATTCAGCCTGTCTTTTCTTCTCCCCGTCCCTGTGATAATATTCGAGTGGAAGTTATGCAGATGACGAGGATTTGACCTGAAAATACATTTCCATGCTGCACTCCATTAAGGCACCAGACACCGTATTATAATGCGGGGAGCATCGTGCCTGGGGCGGGCGTACGTGACGTGAGCCGGCTCACCCTGGTATTTGCAGGGGAAAGGCCACTGCTTGCTGCTAATTCCCGCCTGCGGGAATTTGGAGCTGGCTCCCGCTGGGGCTGCATCCCCAGTTAGCGCTGGGGCGTCACCTCCGGGCTTTGCCGGGAGGAGCAGGATGGATTCGGCCCCGGTGAGCGTGGCTGCATCCCGGGCTGGAGGGACCACCTAGTCAGCCCCATCCTGCGGTCCCCGTGGCTCTCCGGGGTGGGATGCTGCAGATGCTAATTGCTGATGAGGAAATAGCTTGGCTTGACCCGTCCCCGACACCTTCCCTGTAACGGGAATAATAAAGCTGAGTCCTCCCAGAGGGCTCCCAAAGTCCTTTACAAGCACGGGCAGCGTCGTTGGCTTCGTTTGGGGAAACCGAGGCACAGAGGGATGTCGGTACTGACTCACAGTCACCGGGAAAGTTAGTCGGAGGGATTGGGTGGGAATTCAGGTATCCTGACACCTAATCCGGACAGGTGAAATCAGCATCTCGGAGGTTAAAAGCTCCACGCAGAGACGGTCTATCATGTCCCATTACTAACACAGGGTTAAACCCCACAGCCGTATTCTCACCCCCCTCCCCGTATTCTCAACAGCTTCTAAATACAAAGCAGAGGGGTAGGAGGACTTTAATCCCAGAAAACAATCACAAAGAAAATTGGGACTAACCCAGCGGTGCGGTCTCCCATCATCACTCACGAAAACGAAGCCGTTCGTTTGGGTCACCCCCCACGGAGCTGAAGGCTGGAAGGTTGTTTGGTTTGGTTTTTTTTTTCCTTCTTTAACACCCTGAGCAAAGTGAAAATTCAAAAAAAAATTGGTTTATTTTTAAATGCATTTGGAAGTATTTTGAATAGCACGCAGTTCTTTGGGTTTTTGTAATGATTTTTATTTTTTTGGCCATTTTCAACATTACTCGAATGTGAGAGCTCTCCTTTAGGGGAAAGTGTATTTAAGCAAAGTGGAGTGATTTGAGATGTAGAAAGACATCTCTGCTGGGATTTCCTGAACACCGCCGCTTGCGTTCCGTGTTTTGCTCTCAGGGGGAATCTCACGCTTCCCAAAAGCATCGGGTTCGCCGTGCACGGTGCCTTCGCCAGGGAGATGCAAACCCAGACGGTCCCCTTAGGGTCCCCAGGGAATGAGGGTGCAGGGTAATCCCAAATGGGATTTCTGGATGTATCACTCCTTTGCATTATTTCGGAGCTGGAGGAACTGCGGAGGAGCAAATTTACTGAGGGAAATGGAGAAAATACATTTTCCTGGGTGAGGGTTCCCCCAACCTCCCCATCGCATCCTTCCCACCAGCGGAATCCTGCATCCCATGGTAGGGTCCCCACGGGCACCTGGATCTGCCACTCCCGACTCCCAGGGACATCTGATCACAGGAAGCAGGACTTCATTTAATAGCTCATTAATTTTTTCCTTAAACAAAGGCTGCTCAGCTGCTAGTCTGCTGGTTTACCCTGCTAAAACACTGGAGAAAACGGCAAATATTTCAGCTTTTCCACCAAGACAACCCCAGAGTGCTCAAGGAGAAACTGTTCCAGCCAGAAAGGTTAACATTATTTGTTCCTATTATTTGTGTTGTGACAGCTCACAGAGCCCTAATCGCTCTCCTAATGCAATTGCATTAAGGTTATTCACACACACAGAGTGTGGTCCTCCTTCGGAGAGGCTGCGAGCCGAGCTCCCATCCCGCAAAACCCGCGTTTCCCACGCCGCGTCCTCCCCAGGGCACTTCACCGCAGCCGGAGCATCTCACCCCCACCCCCAACCTTTGAGCTTTCCCAGGTAGAGCCATAAAACCTCTCTTCCATCCCACAGAGATGCTGCCGGGGCAGGGAGGATTGAGTTTCTCCCCATCTGCTGCCAGAGATGGGTAATAGCCTGGAAAAAAAAAAAAAGCTCTGCCTGTATTTATGTTATACAATCCTGGCACGCTGCGTGTTTATGGGGAAAAGCGATCCTGCTGGGTTAAACGTTACATATATAGGTTTAAATTATATTATAGGTGGGGCTCGTAGCTCCGCTTTTTATTAACATTGCCCAACGCTTCGCATGACGAGCCCCCACGTTCATCTGCTTACGGTTTCGCTGGGCGTCATGTGTTCGGGATGAGATTTTCCACGTTGTTCGGTCGTGGGCACCGGCAGGGGAAACGTGCCCGTGTGGAAATCTTGGGATAACAGCAGCTTTGAGAATTTCCAAGTGGGAAATTGGGATGAGGACCTGGGAATGGCCAACACCGGCGTGCTGCCGGTCATGTCCCCGACGACTATTTCAAGGTGCAGATGGGGGCAGGGTGGTAGAAATTAGTGCAAAGGCAGCGCTTTGCAAGTTCTGAGGGCTTGACCTGCCAGCATAAATAGATTTTTTGGGGTGGTTTTTGCCTTTTTTTTTTTTCCACACACTCACGTATTTTATATATAATAATGACAGGACTGCATATATTCTCCGTATTCATAGCCACATTACTAACGTCCTGGAGGGATCATAGTGAAAGCATTTCAGAAAACAATAGGAATTCTCCCACTTTGCTGTTTACTAACTCGAACTCCGCTCGTGCAACCCAGGCACCGCGCGTGCTTGGCTTGGTTCAGCTGCGGTCAGCTTTGCTTTTTATCATCGTATGCCTTCGCTGTGATTATTGTAGGCGGCAGAAGGAAACACTTATTTGTTAAGAAAAAATAAAATAAAAAAATAGCGTTGGACTGCCAGCTTGGGAAAATATTCTTGCTGCTTTTTAGATGTTCCCCTTAAAAAAAAATATATATATATAGGTAAATAAGTGCTATTGGGGTGGGTATTATGCTGTTCCGTGGCTGTATTTAAAAAAACTTCTCCAAAAATGTGTGTGTGAGGCTGGATGTGTGCTGGCCTTAGAGAAGACAGCTGCCTGTCTTCTCCAGCAGCTGCCTGCACCTCTGCCTGCTTCACCCTGCGCGATGCTCCTGCTTCAAAAGAAAGCTCCTGAGACACCCAGTGGTCAGTGCAAGGATAAAAGAAAGGGAAAAATGAGCTCCAGGAGGAACTTCTGTTTAAGCAGCATTGCCCCACAAGCTCAACTAATATCCTTATTTGCCGGCAGGAATAGAGGTGTACTTACTTACATATTTCCATATGGTTTCTTCCAGAGGGTTTTTTTCCCTCCGATTTAGGCTGTTTTGAACTTGTTGGGATGGGCTGCAAACTGCTGATGCGAGGGCTGGGTCTGTGCGATGTTTAGGCGCTGTGGCCCCAGGAAGGAGAAGGTGGATGCAAATGCCAGCCGGCAAGAGCATCCATACGTTGGGCCTGAGCCGTGGCTGGAAGCCCTGGGATGAGCTCCCCACCTTCCCATCACCTTTCCCTCGCCTGATCCAAGGAACAATCCCAACCGCATCCCTTCCAGTCCACGCCGCCTGACCCAGTGCCTTTTCTTTTGCAGGCAGGACAAGCTCAAAATCCACATGAGGAAGCACACGGGGGAGCGGCCGTACCTCTGCATCCACTGCAACGCCAAATTCGTGCACAACTATGACCTGAAGAACCACATGCGCATCCACACGGGCATCCGGCCCTACCAGTGCGAGTTCTGCTACAAGAGCTTCACCCGCTCCGACCACCTCCATCGCCACATCAAACGCCAGAGCTGCCGGATCGCGCGACCCCGGCGAGGACGCAAGCCGGCAGCGTGGAGGGCAGCCGGCTTGCTCTTTGCTCCCGGTGGTCCACCGGTGGAGAAGAGCTTCATGATGCCACCGACATTGGAGGAGATGAGCGGCCACCTCGGCAGCGCGGCCATGTGCCTTCCCGGCCCCAGCCCCAAGCACTTTTTGAGTGGGGCCAAGACCACCTTCAGCTTGCAGGAGCTGGAGAGCCAGTTTGAAGAAACCCAGATGAAGCTCCTCAGGCGAGCCCAGCTGGACATGGAGAGGAACGCGGGCATCTTCGCCTTCGCTCTGGGTCATAACGAAAACCTCACTGCCCAACCCTTCTTCCCCCTTCCCGATCCTTGGAGCACGGGCTTTAGCGGCTTGGCGGGGCTCGGCCACATGGCTCCCATCTCGGAGGCGAGCAACTAAACACGTGCCCGGTCCCACCATGGGTCCGCTTCCTTCCCAACAGGGCGAACGGCTCCCTCAGAGTCCCTGCCTGCCCTTTCGCATCGCCTGGATCCCAAGAAGCTCTCCATCCCCCTCCCACCATGGCCTACATGTGGCTTGGGGCACGGAGCCACCCCCAGGATCAGCAAGTGGGTGGGTGGGTGCTGGCACCATGGCCACCGGCACTTTAGACTCTGCGATGCACTTGGCTTTGGGGTGGTGGGGCACTCGCTGCCCCATCCAGCTGCCCACCACTCGTGGCTCCATCTGGGAAGGCCAAGCCAGGACTGCCGCTCTCTTCAGCGCTCCCGAAAATGTCACTTGCCTTAGTCCAGGGCATGGCCATCACCTTGAGATGGCTCTTCTAGGGGAGATGTTCCCCATTTTCCACCCACGGGGCCCACTGGACACCAACAAGCCGTCCAGACTTGGTTTTAATACCTTACATTCCTTGGCCTTTTTGGTCAAAAGGACTTTTTTTTTTTTTTTTTAGTTAACTCTCATGTCTGGCAACAAAATTTATTCTACAAGGGATAAAGGGAAGGGTCAAGCCATCATGTTGAGAGGAGGAGGATCCCGGCCATTGCCTTTCTCAGCAGTATATCAGATTTGCAGGGCTGGTGAAAGCCCTGCTGTGCAGGATGAGTTGGGACCCTAAAAGAACAAAAAAAAAAAAAAAAAAAAAAAA